AAGTGTACGTGAGAGGGGGGGGGGTTCTGGTTCTTATGGTACATGTATATACATATAATTGGTTTAGTAGGGGCACACTGAGTACGGGTGGCCCCCCTACTTTGCTGTGACACAGTTGAGTTTTTAATTTATGGAGAAAAAAAAGGTGAAATATATAATTTGTACAAGAAGAGTGATTATTTGCTTGCTGTTTGCGAGCGTCTATTTGGGTATCTTTTCTTTTGGCCGTAAAGCAAAACACTTTTTGAGATTATGCAGCCTGTTGCTGTTCCTGGCCTGCATCCTGGACTTTTGCCTTTTTGTTTTTTGCTTGCTGGCGCTTGGAGATGGGCTTTTCGGCTTTTGTCTCGTGCGTGGGGGTGGAGTCCAACGTGTCGCCTGGTCGCTTGCCGTTTTGGTTTTTATTTGCTTTTACCTTTTGTGATGCCTTGTCTTTTGTCTCTTGCGCTGACTTGTCGCCGCCGTGGACAATGTCGACTATGCCTTTGAAGCTCTGTCGTTTCAGGCGGGCAAACTCAACGACGCTTCGTGGCTCCTTGGTGAGGCCGTCTTTGCCCTTTTCTGTGCCGAGCCCCCATACGGAAGCGAGGTTGATGATGTCGCTGGGTGCTCGTATGCCCAGGGCGTTGTTTGCTTCGGAGCTGAATATCAGACCGCGGCCTCTGGTGACGCGAATGAGCTGGACGGCGTTGCTAATGACATTGCGCTTTGCAGCCGGATCGTTTGATATTATGCCTTGGCTATAGCAAATCTCAATCTTGATTCCTCGTGCTATAGCGGTGCCGAGCATAGGAAACTTGAAGTGTGTTTCGAAGCGGGTGGTGAGGTCGAGGGATATGATATCGACGTCGAGGCTCTGGCATGCCTGCTGCAGGGTGCGCTCGTCGGTGGGCCGGGCAGCAACCAAGTCATAATGCTGCTGCAGCTGGGGGATGCGGAAATTGGAAGCCGAGTCAGTGAGGAAGATGTTACAGCGGCGCAGGATGCGCATCCGGGCAGGGACGGGGAAAGGCAGGCTGGTGGGTACGGGGGGAGTCTGGTGGTGAAAGGGCATTGATCAGCGTGGCGTCGCAGGCGCAGGCGCAAGTGAAACTGGAAAGTGGAAGCCACAACTGGACCGGCAGCGTGGGTGGTACCTACTATATCAGTGGGGAGTCTCCCAGTATATGTGTGCGTGAGAGCAACGACATCGTATCCTACTGCATTGCATCAGCCCGGCGCTCGCTGCATTGCATCACTACGACGCCCAAAAGTTGCCCGGTAGCTCACATTCGTCGAGAAAAGCGATTGTCCGCTGCAGTCCCGGTGTCGCGCCAGACCAGGGCACGTGCAGATCGTGGAACATTTTCCTCAATGGCGTCGGCGGGCACAGAACGAGTGGTGGGAGTGGGAGAGGGCGTGGGAGAGAGCGCGGTAAGGCTGCGGAAGAGCAAAATAGGTAAGTCCACCAAGGCGGCGGAAAGCAACGATCGTCACCGGGCTGGCTGGCCTCTCGGAGCGAGCAGTTCGCATCAAAACCCCCCCCCCCTAGCATTTGGTGCCGAAGCTTGGCTCTGGAATGCTTTGCTGAACGGAACTGCACTGAGCTGGTCTAACGCACACACACACAAGCCACCCTCGGCCAGGACTGCGACCACCATCTCGCCCATCACCACCACTACCGCCCCCAGCAGCTCCTCGACGTCGACACGGCACCGAGCGAGCCCTCACCAGCCTCACCACCGCCACACGCCCGGCCGCCCCAGCCACAGCCCCAGCCACAGCACGAGTGCCGTGCCCATCGTCACCGCCTCTTTGGGCTGCTGCACTGGACAAAGACACAGGGCGCCGTCGCTGTGCTTGCTGTTGCTGCTGCTACCGGCCTCGCCCTGGTCCTCTGCCTGCCGCCGCTGCTGTGTGGTCCCGCCAGCCTCCGCCCTCTGCCCCCACTCGCACCAACTCCAACTCCAACTCCAGCACAAACACCACCACCTCCGTCACCACCACCACGCGACCCCCCGCCCCCGCCTGCCCACACCCCCTTCGCTGCCACCATGGCGCTCAACAACTCGAGCGGCGCCACGAGCATCGCCCGCGTCTATGCCGATGTCAACGCAAACATGCCCCGCTCCTACTGGGACTACGACTCGGTCAACATCTCGTGGGGCGTGCTGGAAAACTACGAGGTCGTCCGCAAGATTGGCCGCGGAAAGTACTCCGAGGTCTTTGAGGGCATCAACGTTGTCAACTACCAGAAATGCGTCATCAAGGTCCTCAAGCCCGTCAAGAAGAAGAAGATCAAGCGTGAAATCAAGATTCTGCAAAATCTGTCGGGCGGCCCCAACATTGTCTCGCTGCTCGACGTGGTGCGCGATAACCAGGTGCGTGCCGATTTTGACCTGGGCTTGGCGCCTGGCTATCACTGCCGCTACTGCTGCTGCTGCTAACACGCGACGCATAGAGCAAAACCCCTTCGCTCATATTCGAATATGTCAACAACACCGACTTCCGCAGTCTGTACCCCAAGTTCCAGGACTTTGATGTGCGCTTCTACATCTTCGAGCTGCTCAAGGCCCTCGACTTCTGCCACAGCAAGGGCATCATGCACCGCGATGTCAAGCCTCACAACGTCATGATTGACCACGAGAAGCGAAAGGTGCGCATTGTAAACTGGCGCACGCGCACTGCTGCTAACCCGAGCTTAGTTGCGCCTGATTGATTGGGGTCTGGCCGAGTTCTACCATGCAGGAACAGAGTACAACGTCCGCGTTGCGTCGCGTTACTTCAAGGGTCCCGAGCTGCTAGTCGACTTCCAAGAGTACGACTACTCGCTCGACATGTGGTCGCTGGGCGCCATGTTTGCCTCGATGATTTTCAGGCGCGAACCCTTTTTCCACGGCAACAGCAACTCGGACCAGCTGGTCAAAATTGCAAAGGTCCTTGGCACTGAGGACCTCTTCGACTACCTCGACAAGTACGACATTGAACTGGATGCCCAGTACGACGACATACTCAGTCGATATCCCAAGAAGCCCTGGCACTCGTTTATCAATGCCGAGAACCAGCGCTTTGTCAGCAACGACGCTATTGACTTCCTTGACAAGTTGCTACGATATGACCACCAGGTAAGCCCAGTCAGCACCTACGCCTTGCAGCGCTTCCCTCCTAACCCATGTATCAGGAACGACTTACTGCCCAAGAGGCCATGTCGCATCCTTACTTTGCTCCTGTCCGACAAGCTGCGCAGCAGAACAGCACCGCAGCATGATTGAGATACCCAATTCACGTGATTAGATGTTATGTAATGGCATAAAAGCACAGGCGCCCAACTCTTTACTCAAATCAGAGCATTCTACTTTCAGTCACGCTCTGAACGTGGCGGACTATCAGGCGTGCCGGCGTGCACACGGGGCATGAACAACGGAGTGATATATATGCAGGACAAAAGACGGGGGTACTGTTCTTGGATAGGCCATGAGAGAACGGAAACGGCCCAGCGCAGGCGTATTTTTGCGACCAACGCTCTAGGGCTGACGGTCAGAATAATGCATAGCCAAGGTGTTAGTGGGCTTGTACAAATGTCCAATGGAGTGAGTCCTCTTTCTCGAATGTTATCAATGAATATGGTATTATGATGTGGACTTCAACTAGTGATTGCTTCAAACAACTTGACAGTGTCAATTTTATTACGGCCAAGGCATTTTCGTGGGCAATTCATCAACGGCTGAACAGTTCCCTGAGAGTTCACCCAGATGAGTAGGCGGGGTCAGATCAGACGCTCGGACTCAATGTGGGGGTGACGCACGCCGGACTTTGAAGACTCACACCCAGTCACTATTTTGTTAATGTTGCCCCGCCCCGCGCCCACTACACTGCGCGCTGCTTGCAGACAATCCCTCACACATACCAATTCCTCCAGGCACAGACTACAGTTGCCATCGCGAATCTATACTGCCCTCCATCCTCACTTTTCGGCTCACGCTGGGCGCGTGCTCATACTGCACCACCACTACTCGACCCCAACCATGGCGCTCAATGCGTCCTCTCACAACACCACGGGTGATAAAACGGCGCCCAACACCGCCCCGCCACCCGAGCTGAGCGGAGAAGCCAAAAAAGACATTCTCGGCGCCGCTGAAACCGAAGCCACTGGCCAACATGCGCCTGGTCGCGAGAACGAAAAGGGCGTAGAGAAGAAGGAGAAGACTGCCAAGGAGCTGGAGAAGGAGAGGAAAAAGGCCGAAAAGGACGCAAAGTTCAAGGCCAAGAAGGCTGCCGCTGCTGGCGCCGTCAAGGATGCTCCGGCAAAGGAGAAGAAGAAGAAGGGCAAAGAGGAGGAGCAACTGCCCGAGTACGTTGAGCAGACACCCAAGGGCGAGAAGAAGCGTCTTCAGAGCCTGGACGGTCCATACACAAAGGCATACATTCCCAAGGTTGTTGAATCTGCATGGGATGCTTGGTGGGACGCTCAAGGCTTCTTCAAGCCTCAGTTCGCAGAGGATGGCAATGTCAAGTCCCCTGGTCACTTTGTCATTCCCATCCCACCACCCAACGTCACCGGCAAGCTACACTGTGGACATGCGCTCGCAACGAGTCTTCAAGATGTCTTAATCAGATGGCACCGGATGAGAGGCTACACTACGCTGTATCTTCCTGGTTGCGATCACGCTGGTATTGCTACACAGTCCGTTGTCGAGAAGATGTTAAAGCGAAGGGAGAACAAGACCCGATATGACCTGGGTCGCCAAAAGTTCCTCGAGAGGACCATGGAGTGGAAGGAAGAATACCACCAACATCTGACCAACACCCTGCGCCGAATGGGTGGTTCTTTTGACTGGACACGCGAGGCCTTCACCATGGATGAAAATCTGTCAAAAGCAGTCACAGAGACATTTGTTCGCCTCCACGAAGACGGTCTGATCTACCGAAGCAACAGACTGGTCAACTGGTGTACAGCCTTGAACACGGCTTTGAGTGCTCTTGAAGTCGATAACAAGGATCTGGCTGGCCCGACCAAGCTGTCTGTTCCAGGGTACGAGAGAATGGTCGAGTTCGGTGTCCTTACACACTTCAAGGTATGTCGAGCAGAGTCTAATCTCGAAAACTGTACTAATAACTTCTATAGTACGCTATTGATGGTACCGACCAATTCATCGAGATTGCTACCACACGTCCTGAAACCATGCTTGGTGACTCGGGTATCGCCGTCCACCCCAAGGACGACCGTTACAAGCACCTCGTTGGAAAGAAGGCCAAACACCCCTTCATCGACCGTCTCATGCCCATTGTTGCAGACGAATATGTCGACCCCGAGTTCGGTACTGGAGCCGTCAAGCTGACACCAGCACACGACCCCAACGATTTCAACCTAGGAAAGAAGCACAACCTTGAGTTCATCAACATTCTGGTATGTCTTCTCCTGAAAAAAAAGAAAAAAAAACTAACATCTACAGAATGACAACGGAACAATGAACAAGAATGCCGGTCGTTTCGAGGGCGAGAAGCGCTTCGATGTTCGTTACACCGTTGTAGACGCACTCAAGAAGGAGGGTCTGTTCGTCAAGACCGAGCCAAACCCGATGAAGGTGCCCATCTGCTCAAGATCTGGCGACGTCATTGAGCCCATCATGAAGCCACAATGGTGGATGAAGATGGAAAGCCTAGCCAAGCCTGCCATCGAAGCCGTCGAGAAGGGTGACATCAAGATTCGGCCAGTCACTTCCGAGAAGATCTACATGCACTGGATGAACAACGTTCAGGACTGGTGCTTGTCGCGTCAACTCTGGTGGGGCCACCAAATACCAGCCTATTTCGTCCAAATGGAAGGCACCGAGGGTGACCGCAACGAAGACGAGCTCTGGATTACTGGTCGTACAGAGGAAGAGGCAAGAGCCAAGGCTGAGAAGAAGTTCCCCGGAAAGAAATTCACATTGTCGCGAGACGAGGACGTGCTCGACACATGGTTCTCCTCTGGTCTGTGGCCATTCTCCACTCTGGGTTGGCCAAACCAGACTGCCGACCTTGAGAAGCTCTTCCCCACCTCTGTCCTTGAGACAGGCTGGGACATTCTCTTCTTCTGGGTTGCCAGGATGATTTTCCTATCCCTCTACTTGACTGGAAAGGTTCCTTTCAAGGAGGTCTACTGCCACTCTCTTATCCGTGACTCTGAAGGCAGGAAAATGTCAAAGTCTCTCGGTAACGTTGTGGACCCTGTAGATATCATGGATGGTATCACCCTTCAGAAGCTCCATGACCAGCTCCGCGCCGGTAACCTGGATCCCAAGGAGTTGACCAAGGCCGAGAAGTACCAGAAGACCGCCTTCCCTCAGGGTATCCCCGAATGTGGTGCTGATGCGCTCCGTATGGCACTTGTCGGATACACCACTGGTGGTGGAGTAAGTTTGTCCTGTCATTTCTTATTAGATGTAATACTGACGTCTTTCTAGGACATTTCGTTTGACGTCAATGTCATTCACGGATACAGGAGATTCTGTAACAAGATCTACCAGGCCACCAAATATGTCATTGGACGCTTGGGAGAATCCTTCAAACCGCAGGAGAAGGTTGGAAAGAGCGGAAAGGAGTCTCTGCCTGAGCGCTATATCCTCCACAATCTCAATGCCGCTGCCAAGAAGATCAACGACCACCTGGAGGCGCGCGAGTTCAGTCTTGCCACCCAGGTTGCCTACAAGTACTTCTACGTCTACCTCTGCGATACATATATCGAGAACAGTAAGGCCATCTTCGACGAGGGAAGCGAAGAGCAAAAGGAAAGTGCCAAGCAGACGCTTTACACTGCCATTGAGGGTGGTCTCAACATGATTCACCCATTCATGCCCTTCCTCACGGAGGAGCTCTGGCAGCGACTGCCCAGAAGGCAAGGCGACAAGACACCTTCCATCTGCATCGCACCTTTCCCACAATACTCGCAAGAGTTGGAAGATGAGACCGCAAATGCCGAATACGAGCTTCTCGTAGACAGCGCGAAGGGCCTTCGTTCTATGACCGCAGAGTACGGCATCAAGGATAATGCATCCACATATATCCAAGCCCTCGACGATAGCACACACTCTATCCTCTCTTCTCCAACATCTCTCCCTTCAATCCGATCTCTGGCAGGCAAGACCGTATCTGAGATTAAGATTTTGTCACCTTCCGAGACCGCGCCCTCTGGCTGCGCCGTGTACACAATCGGCACATCAGCGACCGCGTACCTCGACGTCAAGGGCCGCATTGAGCTCGACAAGGAAATCACAAAGGCCCAGGATCGCCTCACAAAAGCCAACGAGACGATTACGCGCCAAAAGAAGATTATGGACAACGACTGGGAGGAGAAGGTCAGCGATGTGGTCAAGGAGCAGGAGAGGGAGAAGCTCAAGGCTGCCGAGTTGGAGGCGAAGAACTGGGAGGCGAGTATTGCGCAGTTTGAGAAGATGAAGATTGAGTAGGTGGATGTCTGTGTGTGTGTGATGGAGAGATGTGTATGATGAGAAAGCACAAGTGCACTCAATGAAGATTCCAGTTATTTCATAGTAGAACACTTGGATCAAAAGATGGAGAAATGGAAAAAGACAAGGAGGATGGCGTTCAATCTCATTTGATCTAAATTCGATCTGCTTTGCCTTGCATTCATATTTGTTGTACATGTAAGCCCTTTTCATCATCTACAAAAACTGCATATGCCCCCTTTGTTCCAACCTTGGAGAAACGCTCTCGAGTGCTGTGCCCTCTTTAGCGCTTGCACATGTGGCAAAACGGCTTGTAATCTGGGGGGGTTTGTGGGGAAGGGGAATAGATATACAACTGGTGAGTAAAGAACACCGTGGAAAAAAAAAGGCGGAAAGGGGGTAACGGCACATCCTCCCCATGCAAGAATGTGAGAAAAAAAAAGAAGATAGCTAGTAGGAGAGCCAACATGTTTCACGACGCAGCCCCGACTTCCACTTTACCCGCAGCACTCTCCACACCCCCCTCACTTTTAACTACCAACTGCGTCGTGTTATTCCCCGCCATCTCACTACCCAGGACCTCGGGCCTCCATCTAAGCAGCAGCTTGCGTGCACTCGGCTTGGCCCTCTCATTCTCCGCCCACATCTCCGCGAGGACATCAACGACGATCTTGCGGACTGGGGGCCGAAACATGTACAGGTAGTGTAGAGCGTTACATGCGAGATCGATGCGCTCTGGGTCCTCTGCCATTTTCTTGAGGCGAACAAGGAGGGTGTAATCTATTGAGGGGATTTCGGAGAGGAAACGCAGAAGGATTTTATCCGTGTGCTCGATGTAGGGCAGAATACCGTCGATGAGGCGGAGGGCGCAGCGGTGGTAGTTTCCGCGCGGCGGTTTGGAGGGCGAAATGCCGTTTACAGTACCGTTTGGTAAAGGGGACTCGGCGGATTGGGTGAGGATCATGTCGTTGTACCATTCCTCGTTGAGCCAGGAGATTGCGACGTCGATGCGGCGTTTCCAGTCGTAGAGGATGTATTGGTAGAGGGAGTCGCGGATGGAGTCGCTGATTTTGGGGTTGCTGCTGCTACGGGTGGTGCTTTTCACGGCGTACTCGTCTTTGATGCCATCGGTGGGGTCGTCGAGACCGGCGCTTGCGCGTGTGGCGAGGCGGGAGAGGATGGTGACCCAGGCGTCGCGGCTGTAGTCTGTTGCTGCTAGACGGTTGAAACCACCCTTTGTGGCCTTGCTCTTTTGTGTCTCATCTACACTGCTCAGCATGCCGAAGGCGCGATGTACGGTCATGTCACCGTACTTCTGGACATCCTGTTCGGATAATGGAGGTGCTTCGGGCAGCTTGAAGGGTGCTAGAGCAGTGGATGGGCCTTGTTGGGTTGGAAAGGGATTTGATGGGATGCCGTCAAGCTTGTTCATGATTTGTTCCGCATCTTCTGGTTCAAAGTCGGGCTCGTATTCCTCTTCGTCTTCTGCAGCAGGAGCGCTTGGTGGCTGAATAGGCTGGTTCGCAGCATTCTGGCGCAGTGTCTGATACCGAGCGCGGACGGCCTAGATGCATGTTAGTGTGCTATGTGTTGACAGAGAGTATGCTCAAACAAAAACCACCACATACATTGATTGCTTGTTCAAGCTTTTGTGGGTTGACTGACTGCAGGACAGGCACTACAATCCTGACTAGTTGCTCAGGATCTTTGAAATTTTGCACATCAAAGTTTGCAGTGCTGCCCTCAGAGTTGAGCGTATATAATTGTCGCCAACTTATTGGACCAGGCGGCAAAGGCTGAACAGAGGGTGTACGACTGGGGGGCTCAGCCACAAGTCGTTGTCTCTTGGCGTGATCAAGGCCATCGGTCGGCTCAGCGGGTGCTGGTCGCTTACGATTAGATTCCTCGAAGAATTCCACACGGGCACGATGCATGCGTTCCAGGAACTGTTGTATGCGTCCATTGATTGGGTTCTCGGGGTTCCTGTAAGGGTAAGTACTTGAGATGGCGTGACATCCTGAGGTTGACATACCTCTTCATAATGTTGACGAGCAGTGCCCTTGTTGTACGCTCAATCGACTTGATAATGACCTTGTTCTTAGGCGTCATTGGCGAATTGGCAAGCTTCAAGGGATTGAAGTTGAAGACACTGTTCAAGATTTTATTTGCAGCATTTGGTCGGCGATGGATCAGCATGCCCAAGCTGTTCAAGGTGGCAGTCACGAGCAATCCGTCACTGGTCTGTGTTAGATGCATGTCGGCAGTCTGTGACTGTCTATCTAACCTGTGATCCCCATGTATGATATCCAGCAGCCTATCCAGTAATCCATGTCCTTCAGCCTCGAGGCTCGCATACGGTATAAGCGGGTGGTCGCGGGGCACAATGGAGAGGGAAATATCGTTGTGATCGGCGCGCTGCGAGACATGAGATTTTGTGTTTCTACGTCGGGGGGTTGGAGGAGTATCTACCCTAGGGTCTGCCACGCCTGGTGTCTGTACCAGGACGACTTGTTGGAGGAACTTGACGCAGCATATACGCACGCCAGGGGCGGCCGAGTCCATTCGTCGCAAAATGTTTGCTTTGATGCCAAACATGAGGCCCCAATTTTGCGAATCGCTGGGGTCGGAGACACTGGGCACATGCAAGAATAAGAGCGTATTCGCATGAAGACAGTCAAGGAGCATGCGAGCATAAAGGGACCTCAAGAATGCGCAGGGCATGTTTGACATGCGAGGGGCTCTATCTGATGCGAGGGAGGGGATTTACTTACGTATGTTTGTATACGAGCGGGTACACGCTCGCGGCCGCCTGGATGGCACTCTTGATGACGCTCTTGTCATCGACATTCTCCAGGTAGGCCTTGAGGGTAGCCAGCACCGAGGGCGCGCTGCTCTGCTTGGCCTCCTGGGGCCATGCTGGCGATGCAAAGGCCTCTGCCAAAAACTCGGCACCCCAGCGCTGTATCTCGATGCTCTGGTCTTCACTGTAACCGATGATAGGGAGCACACCCGGTATAATGGTAGGATAGTATCTACCGTCGCCTAACGCGAGCGACCGGGCCGACTCCATCTGCTGTATCGTTTGCGAAGTCATGGTGATGGTGGTGGCAACACACTGGCGGCGCGCTTTGTAGTGAAGAGTAGGAGTAGGAGTTGTAGGAGTCGTGAGGCTTGCTCACGCGCGCGACGCAACAGTCAAACTAAGAGCGCGACAAAGACCTGACGTGTACGGTCAAAGGGCGTCCCATTCCCCACAATGCTAGCAATTACAAAGAGGCTGTAGAGAGCGTAGAGAAGGAAAGGGGGATGGGGATGGGTATGTGGATGTGGATGGGAACGGGGGTGATGATGGTGTTGACTACAGCTACGAGCGCGAGGTGAGTGGCGCAGGGTTGACGCTGCGACTGCGATGATGTGCGCCCTGCCCGCCAAGACGCCCGCCTAGCCCCATGCATCATCTCACCACCATTTCTTTCCCCGCAGAATCCGCCTGGGAGCCTCACAACACCGCCGCCATGGGATAGTGAGTCTGCGCACTATATTCATATTGTTTCTGCCGCGCATGCTAACATTGGCCCCAACAGCAAGCCATTCCGCTCAACCTACTACGATGACCGCATGCGCGCCTCGCCCGCCCTGCTGCGAGCCCGCGCGCCCTACCTGATAAAGAACACCATCACCGGCTTCGCAATCTGCTCGCTTGTCATTGGCATATGTGCGCATTCTCTCCCTGCCTCTCTAATTGGTGTACTGACCCACCTTTTTCAGACACCTACACCATCAATGCCATCTCCCAGGACGAGTTCGAGGATGTCATTGTGCCAGACAAGCCGCTAGACAGATCCGCTCAGCCTACCACCCAAGCCCTTCAGCAGGCCATGGACGCGCGCAAGTAAAATAATCATCTGCCTGTATATTGGTGTAAAAGACGTGTATGCATTGGGTTGGCGCTACAGGAATCATTCGGGAAATACCACTTTTTCGCCATTTTGAATCGCACTGTGCTCAAGACTGTCCGTTCACGTATCCCACTTGCACACCGTATGCGGAATCTCTTGTACCGTTCAACATTGCACACTCAAGATCAGCATGACTGGACGATAGTTGCGGTAGCGATCTCCGCTCCGCCTTGCACCCGCTCCACCGACCAATCATGTGTGTACTGGAATAACTCCTCCGCGAGAACCATGGAATGCCTTGTGGCTCTATTGCTTTTCTTCTCATACGCCATTCACAAATTTTCAAGGACAACTAGCAAACTGGTCTTGGAGGACCGGTATGTTTGCAATCTGCATGATCCTCTGGCACCAACAAAATGCTGGCCCTATCATAATGGCCGCTTAGTCACGCACGTTCATATCATGGTTACGTTTCCGTTGATATCACAGCTTCTTTCTGTGGTATGAACGTCTTGCTTACAGCAGTTTGGCAGATTTTGGTGTGATGTTTTGGGGTTCTCTGCCCACTTTCTCCTCTATATATTTCCTTTATATGCTAAAAGCCACATCTTGCAACTCTCTCATTCTCAAAGTGACAGATCTCTTCAAGTACACAAAGTAAAGAATCGAATTCCAGTACGTGAAAGAAAAATGGCCAGGTCTCCAACATTCATTGAACCATTACTAACTCTAACAATAGCCTGCAAACAACACCATAACTAGCATCGCTATGGGCAACAAGGGCGAACCTACAGTCTTGGACTCCAGGAGTCACAAGAGTACTTCTTCTATCCGACGATTACTCCACGTCCTCAAGTACGCCACCAAGAACCGACAAGCCGACACAGACTCCTTGAAAAGCAAAGCCAGCGACGTGCCTTCAGTACCCAGCACGCCTCAAAGCAGCAGCACCGACGATAAAACAGAGTCCACCCGGTTCAATGCAGATGAGTTCAGAATGCGCGTTCTACACAGCAACGTGTCTTCAGCTGTGCCCCCAAAGTCCAACCCAGTCACTGCATCCGAGTCTACCCACCAAACCCTCTCAAGTGTTCCTGAGAATACCGCATCCAAGAATGGTCCCCAGGAACCCTCCCAGGCATCCGTTGCCCCAAGCAGCACTGACACCACTATTGCTTCTAAGCCCTCAAAGAGCCGCAAGCCACGCAAGCCTACCATGATTACCCCTGAACTCATGCAGCAGATCCAGATCTCCAACAAGAAGCATAGTGGCGGTGCTCTGCGGGATAATGGTGAGCTTCGCAGGAAGAATCTGGGAACTGCAACTGTGACAAATAGAGCAAAGGCTGTTGTTGCTAGCCCTCTTCGGTGGTCGGAGGAGTAGACAATGAGATCTAGGGGGGTTTGAAAATGCATGGAAAATTGGAGGGAAAAAAATCAAGGGAGACGTCACTTCAGGATGGTGATAATAGTTTATACTCGCTGATGGAGTGGCGTACATGGTCGGCCCCCTTTTTCTTTGTGATCACTGCATCAGTGGCTGGGGGAATAAACTGCTATTTTAATTTTCTATGTTGTATTACTCGATACTATTAATTTAGTCTCTTAATTTCATTGCATAGACCTTGTCCAAGGTCATCTCCAGCCCAGATATTTCATCCAACAGCACGCAGATAAATTTTCAAGTCTACATTATTTCTAAGAATAACTTGATTGAGCACACCACACCCCTTTTGAACTACCTTATCAACCAGTCTCAACACCAACATTACCTTCACGTCGCACTCTAAACCCCACACCGGGCAACCGGCTCTTCAACAATAACGAACTACACACCACGCTAACACTGCTCAACGCCATAGCCAAAGCAGCCCAGACCGGATCAAGCTTAACATGCTTCTCGCCCGTATGCCCCATGGCCATCCCAGCATGCATTTCCATCGCCTCCCCCTTACCACCGGTAGTAATCGGATACAAGACCCCCGCCGCAATCGGCATAGCCACCACATTATACACAAGCGCCCAGCCGAAATTAAAATAAACGCGTCGAAACACCACTCGCGAGAGATCCAGGAGTGTAAGTATAGTGGTGAGACGACTGTTTATAAGGATGAAAGACGAGGAGCTCAGTGCAATGTCTGAACCTGAGCCGATGGCGATGGATAAATCGGCGGTGGAGAGGGCGGGGGCGTCGTTGATGCCGTCGCCTACCATGGCTATTGTTGCGCGTTTCTGTCTCCTATTTTCTTCTCTGTTTGCACTGATGAAGGGGATTTGGAAATAAGAACGTTTGGGTGGTTTGCGTAGGGTCTGCTGGAGATACTTTATCTTCTGAGCTTTCTGCTCTGGTAGCACGCCCGCGATGATGTTGGAAGCCGGTATGCCGACTTGAGCGCCGACGGCGTTGGCGGTTATGGGGTTATCGCCGGAGAGCATCCAGGTGGATATGCCGCGGGTATGGAGGGCGGCGATGACGCTGCGGGCTTCGGGGCGGAGGGCGTCGGCGATGGAGAAGGTGCAAGCCAGGTGCCAGGTTGGGGTTGGAAGGGTTTCGGTCAGTGCGGTTGAGAGATTTTCGCTGGAGGAGCTAGAGGAGGAATGAGAGGGGAGGAGGGAGGAGGAGGAGGGCATGAAGAGGGCTGCGAGGGCGACGGAGTCGCCGCGGGATTTCCAGGTTGAGAGGAGGGTGGTGAAGTAGGGGGAGATGGGGACGGAGTGGTCGGTCATGAAGGCTTCGTTGCCTACGATAGCAGTGATATCTTGTCCGTCGACTCGGAAAGTGCCTTTTAGACCTTTGCCTGGTACTTCGTCGATGTCGACCACTGTTGGCGTGATGTGGTCTTCTCTGTTACAAAAAGAGACCAGAGCACGTGCGATGGGATGGTTGCTATTCTGCTCGAGAGCCTTGACTATACCCAGTACCAATGAGCTTTTCTGATCTCCAGAGAACTGGTGGTTCGTCACTGATGGATCGCCGCCCTCGGTAAGGGTACCCGTCTTATCGAAAACGATACAGTCAAGAGAACTGGCCTCTTGGAAGGCCTCGCCTCCGCCTCGAACGAGTATACCGTGCTTTGCAGCTAAACCGCCTCCAACAAAGAGCGCAGTTGGAGCGGCAAGACCAATACCGCAGGGACAGGCGATAACGAAGACGGCAATGGCGAATCGAAGAGACCAGAGTTCCCATCCACCAGCACCCTCATTCTTCCAGTCACTGGGTATAGCTCCCGTCTTACCGAGAATGAGCCAAACCAGCCAAGTGGTGATTGCAATGGCAATGACAAACGGTACAAAATGCGAAGTGATAACGTCTGCTGCCCTTTCAACAGGTGCACGTCGAGACTGGCCCTCCCTTACAGCATTGATAATCTGATCCAGCATCGACGTCCCCTCAATACTCGTGATCGTAATCTGAACAGGGGATCCTTTGTTCATCGTACCCGAGTATACTATATCACCCTCCACTTTCTTCGCCGGGCGGGACTCCCCCGTCAAACTCGACTCATCAAAGCTCGAACTTCCCTCTACAATCTCGCCGTCAAACGGCGGCGACGCACCATGGTAGACCCGCACCACATCCCTAATCTCAAGTAGATCGGTGGCGATTTTTATATCACCTTGTTTAGAATCAACAAGGATAGCTTCGCTAGGACGCAGTTTCCCCAGTGACGTAACCGCATCCCCCGTCTTCGCTTTGCTATACGCTTCCAAGAAGCGACCAATGAGCAAGAACATAGTCAGGAAAACAACAGCATCGAAATACGAATCGTGCATTGAGCCGTGCGACATTTTCGTAGCTGCCAGGCCGAGTTCTGCAATCGATGCAAAATACGCAATTGTAGTGCCGAGCGAGATGAGCATATTCATGCTTCCGAATCTTGTAAAGCGATGGATAATCGGTGTTCGGCTCCCTGGTCGCCACAGGGCTTTTACTTCCTTGATTGCGCGCCGGTGGAACGTGTCTGCTGCAAAGAAATAAACGGGTGTTGCGAGAATGAAGAGGGCCCAGCTTAGTCTTGTGACGTTGCCTGCCCACATGGGTTGCATGAGGTACTTGCGTATGGGGTTTTTAGGGCTGATTAGGCTCATGAAGACGATTCCCAAAACGAACGTGGGTATGGCGATGATGACGCAGAGTGTGAGGCGGATGAGGATTCGTTTGCGTTCTTGTGCGTGCATTTGGTGTGCGCGTTCCTCAATCGTAGGCGGATGGAAGATTGAGGGGGCGAAGACGGGATTTAGGTTGGAAATAGTGGAGAGGATATGTCGGATGGTGAAGGTAGGGGGAGCCGGTACATATCGAATGTGTAGGATCGGGTTTTCGAGGGATAGAGGGGGGTCTTCAAGTACGAATGTATGCTTGTCTGCAAATTCCTCCAGGAGTCCTTGTATGATATTCGGCGGGCAATGTTCGCAGAACATACCGTCGATGCGTACCGCAACTGTTCGCTCGATTGCTTCGATTGCTGGTGTACCGTCTGGGATAACATGGTCGAGTGTGGCCGTATACCCAACGTCTTCGATGATTCCTTCAATCTCTAAGAGATGCTTCTTGCCTGTGAAAACGACGGTTGCACTGTTTGAAACTAGATTGACATCGATCGACTTGATCCAGGCATGCGGTTCTAGTGCCCGAGTCACGTTGCCGACACACGACGAACACGTTAGACCACCGAGCAAGTAAGTCGCCCGCCAACGCTCCGTCTTTTGCTTCGATAGTTTTGCTTCTGACGCCGTGTTGGGAACTTCTTCCAACTCCTCTACTTCGACGTCGAAGCCACAGTCTTCAATGGTCTCTACAAGCTCGTCACACTTGGCTTTCCCAGTGAAAACAACCACTCCGCTGTTTGTAAGAAGGTTGATGTTGACTGATTGGACCCATGCGTGTGCTCGAACGGCATGCGTGATGGCGGACATACAGGAGCTGCATGTCATTCCAGTGATGGCAAGTGTAACCTTGTACGTCGTGGGAGCACTTGGAGACTCGACGGCGATAAAATCCTCGGACACGGTTGGTTCCAGTTTGGGCGATGAAGCGTCACCCATGCTCATTCTAACGGAGGTTGTGATGGATGAGTGAGGTTCACATGTTGGTGTATCTGCGTTGTGTACGCTGACCACGCCCTGCTCTTTCCCCAACTCTTCGCATTGCGCCAGGGGCTCTTCTTTCTCTTGCATTGCGTATTCCGAGTCGCCGGACCCTTGAGCGTACGACCAATAACTCGCAACACGCTTCCAGATGGCGTTCTATTTCCCACTTTTGCCCTCACCGTCAGAGTTCCTATCCTCGATTGGATACCTGGCCGCTTCGTTGTTTAAGAAGCGCTGTTAGTGAGTTTGGGACATGTCAATTCCTAATGAACCAGTAATTTCGTCAATATTGAGTGACGTGATATGGCGTAGTGTACTACAAGGGATAAAATAAAGAGTATGGACAGAAGAATGGTATGGTAAGGAGGTGAGACAGGAGATGAGAAGGACAAACAAGGCAGGCATGGCCATGGTGCCTTCTTATTCGAGCTAACGAGCTTGACTGGTTGATCTACACATCAAGATTTGACATGGAGCTCGAGCATTGTTTGTAAGGCTAAGGCTGCACTGATCCACATATGGGTGGCGGTTGCACGCGCTCGTGTAACAGAGGGTGCATCGTGTCAACATGCCGAGCCGGACAGGGTCGAGCGATGGCTCATTCGGTCATAATGCATCCAACTAAGAAAGTGTTGTGGCTGGACATTTTTTAATGATGATGGTTCGAAACGAGCCAGCATGGTAGGGCCATACTATTGTTGAGTATCAAAGCAAGATGTAGAGTGGTGCCGATGCGCCGCGAAAAAGCAGTTCACTTACTAGCGCCTCAACTTGACGGTTTGTACCGCGTACTCTCAGGCAAACTATCCGAGAAAAATAACAATCAGTCGTAAATCTCAAAACCTTTTAGTGCATGAGCTTGCATGAGTTGCTTTTCGCACTCGCAGTATGCTGGAATTATACCCAGAGGCTATCTCCCGAACGAAGAAATTTAATGTAATTAAATCTCAGGGCATCTACTACTATTCTTCTAAGCCCCACTGAGAGGTTGGGAATTTCTTTTGGCTAGCACCCGATCACATAACGAACGTTGCGAAGCCCCTTTTTACATCCACTCGCAATCAGCCAGTAGCAAGTGAACGGGAATAAAAAAGGTCCCTATTTGGAAGACAGAGAGAAAAAGGGAATCAACAACGCGTGATCACCAGTCAGAGCAAATGGGTCAGTTGCGACAGTCACATTAGCTAGCAATCAAAGAGGCGAGAGCAATCAAAGCACTCTAAATATATGGACTTAAAGTTGAATCCCTCGTCATAGCCGTGGTTGACCTATCAGTATCATGTTACGCGAATGTCGTGCGACACTGACACGTACACCCAAGAGGAATGAGTATATAGTAGGGCGTAAACTAATACCAATCCCTGAGGAGTTACTCAACTTTCAAATAAAAGAAAATGAACTTTGGCACAGGGCGGTATCTCACTCGGGCCGGCAATGTTAAGAGGATCGCTATTTGCTTGGTCTAAAGCATCGTACCAATCATCTTGCCGGGGTAATTTGTAAGCTTAAACCGAGATCAAATCTGTTTTGCCATTGGTCCTCATTAGTCGCGGAGCAAGCATCGTTATTTCCTATCTAAGAACGCCAAGTAAAGGATAATCGGGTACACGGAAATAGATAGTGGTGCAGCTCTATAGTCTAATGTAGAAAACTCACAGTCATCTGATGCATCGAGTTTCATAACAATGCAACATGGAAAGAGTGGGTTGTAGAGTAAGATGGACTGCTGTTCTATAGCTCATCCTTTTCCTCGACGTCGACGTCGTCTCTTGAGATGCTCTTCGCCTCGAAGGCATCTCCTTTCTTTGCAACCCTTCGCAGTCGAAAGACTCGCGCAGCGTGACTCTTTACGTCCGCTTTGAGTAACCCTCCGGCTTTGGCTACGCCAATCTTCTCGCCGAATAGTCGTGGATCTTCTTGCGCAAGACCAGTAGCGTAAGGAATTTCGGTGGCGTTGTACCAATTCGACTTTGAGAGTACTGCTTGCTTCTCTGAACTTGTCTTTGCCGCAAGGATCTGTTCAGCTGTCTTCTCAGGCATGCGGTGCGCCCAAAGATCATGAATGTCCCAGTCGTACTTGTTATGTGGTGCTGAGCCTCCAGGTCCATAGGGAATGAAAATCTCCGCAAGTGAGACACTCATCTCAGTGTCTTTTCCACCAGCATTTAGAAGAATCACAACTTCGTCGCCATTGTGCAAATGTCCAGCCCATACGTGCGTCTCGCCGACGCCCCATTCGTCTTTGGCGACACCCTCGGTATCGCGTCGGACTCGCGTTACACTTCTACCATGAGGGTCCTGGCTCAGCGCGATGATAGCCGGATTGTTGATAATGGTAAGCGCAGAAGCTGGCATATCACGCAGGTCGTTGCCAAGGAACAATGGAGATTTGAGAGCTGCCCAAAGCGCAAAGTGTGCTTTGTACTCTTCGTCGGTCATACCACCCTGTCCGACTTCGAGCATGTCGAGGTCACTCCAACCGCCAGGAATGCTGCGATCTGCAAATGGCGCGACCTTGTTAAGAATAAACAGTACCGAGCAGTGAGTGCCAGGTGCTACACAGTTGACATCACCTGGCGCCACGGTATTGCAGCCGCAGAGATCGTCGGGGCGTGTAAATGAATCATAGATATCGCCTGTGATGCGCCAAGAGTTTGAGATGGACATTCCCCACTATCGTCAAAAATTAGTATACGCTCATTTTAGCACTAAGCACGCAACAATGACATGTATCTTACCGTATGAACCAGGTCTTCACCCCAATTACACAAGTTGAATAAGATGTTTCGTCCCGTCGCTTTCAAGGCATCTGCCATAGTCTTGAAACGATTGAATGATACCGACGGAGTACCAACGCGGCCCATGTGATAGCAGCTGTCATACTTCAGCATGTCTACTCCCCATCCAGCGAAGCTCTTTGCGTCATCAATTTCGTGGTCGAGCGACCCAGCTATTTGGTTTTAGTGTGACAGCATGGGATGGGCGATGGAGCTGTCATACCGAATCTCGCGCAAGTCATTTCACCAGCACTGCTGTACATTCCAAACTTGAGATTGTGGTCATGGAGATGGTCCGAAATTGACTTTAAGCCATTGGGAAACTTGTCCAATGCTGGTTGAAGTTTTCCATCCTTGTCGCGTCCCTTGGGATTTTGCCAGCAATCATCTAAGACAACATAGTTATAACCCAGGTCTCGCAGACCCAAGTCAATGATCTGGGCCGAGGTTGTGAGAAGCAGGTTTTCGGAAACATCGCATCCAAAAGCGTTCCAGTTGTTCTTTTAAGATCAGCAAGCGAATCGGGCAATTGGCAGAAACATCGTACCCAACCCATTGGCGGTGTAATAGCAAGGCCATTGTTTACGGCAGCTGCGACGTTGGCTAGAGCCGTGACGACGAGGATGCTGTTATGTGAGGGAGGCATGTTGGAGAATCGGTATTGTCTCTCCAACAACGTAGACTAGAGTAGCAAGTTGAGCAGACTTAAATGGCTACACCTCCCCTCAGTGAACGCGAATCTTTCTACTAGATTACCGAAGTTGAAACTCCGATGTGGGGGTGCTCCGCACGTGTCTGAGGAAAACTGATGGGTTTTCCGCCGCTAACATTGCCCAAGGATTTCATCCCGCCTTTCGTATCGATTGGATCCTGGGACCTAGACTTGGCTCAAATCTATACCATTATCATACCGAATATGTGGTAGAGGAAATCTTCTTCGTCTTTATAGAGATAGACCTGAGTAGCAAGAGAGCGGCGACTGCTTGCTCAATGCCAGCAGCGCCTCGTATTCAGGATCGTGGTCTCTCGGTTCAAGCTCCATGTGAGGGGCAAACTGGACTAGAAAGCGTAACAGCCACCGATCGAGTACAAAACTAGTTTCTTTGCTTCGCAGACATGTCTGATGGAACGCTCGAAGACGACTCATAGCACCATCCACACTAGGCCAATATGCACGCAACCGGAGCAGGATCTCAAAGTTGCGCTCCAGTCTTGCTTTTGAAATGCGGATCTCTGCTTCGTCAGCGGAGAAGAGGAGGGTATGAATCTGCACAGTGGATGCAATGACAAGGACGTGTGACACTGCCGAGTACATGACTTCGCTACCAGGTGTCGCATGTGAACGATACACCAGCGAGCAAAGCCGCGCAGCATGCTGTTTGCATGCGTCTGCATATCGCCCATACTCTGCCGACGCCTCGGTCGACAAGGATAGAAACTGGTAATTCAGGAGTTGACCATAATGGTAGTATCCTAGATATACGGCCGCAAACATACGCCCATGGCCCCGTGAGGCAAAGTATTTGAAGTTGTCCGGTGTGTCACGCAAATGTGGTGGAAGGTTTTCGAGCCAGACGTCCAAGTCGCGCGACAACTCGCGCATACCTTTCTCCAGCGGCAAGCCTTCAAGGTGATCTGACACGCATGTGCGATTGAAATCAATGATCTTGGACAAGATCCTGTTAAGTTTCACCATCTCAGCCATGAGGGGAGAGGCTACAGAGGATGTCGGATCAATGCATCCATGTTCTGAATCGGTGCCCATAGACGAGAAAGGAAACTCGTCGACTGGCAGAGGCACCACGATATCAAATGGCATTATGCGCGGCAATCGGACTGCAGTTGAAGACCAAACATCGACCATACATATGGTCCACCATATCCTTATGTTTACTTCACGCTCTATCAGGCTGGCAACCGGACGGCTTGGCAGATCGAGGGCCAGACACATGCGCCCAGCCATACTGTAATAGATATTCTCGACATCGGTCTGGCCGTTAGCGGCAGCGTACGCGCCTAGGAGTAGGCAGACTTGAACGGTGGTGGGGTGCAGATGACGGATGTTAAGCAATTCCTCACTTCGTATCCGGTAACGTTCGCCCCGTTCCCTCGGGTCTGTTCCATGGAATACTTGGTTGGTTGAGAATCGTGCCGAGAGAGCGAACATGGCAAGAAGCACAATTGCCGGGACTCGGTCATGCATGACATCTTGGAGGAAGGATACGCGATGGTAGATGGAGTGGAACTGATCGTGGATGTAGTCGAAATACAAATCGACTAGCTCTCGTCTCAGTGCAAGGGGTGGCAGGTCTGGTTCGGCGTGCCTTGTGGTTGCTGGAGTTGCATCCTGGTTCTGGGGATGCTGTGGAGGCGAATTGAGCGATTGCAGCCTAGCCTTGCGCCTTGCATAGTACCCGCCTTCTGGTGGGCCTTGGATACACTGTTGGCCATGTGACGAACAGTACTCACACACCGCATCCACGCCGTGTGTCGGATAGATGCATTTGCGACGACGCGCCCTGTGACAGCATCAGCATGGATGTGTGTGGCTTGAAGACGCCGGTGTAGTTGGGGGCTTACCGGCAAACTGTACAGGCAGACGGTTTGCGCATAGCGTGTTAGAAGCAGCCAAGTCTGGCGAGCATCTCTGGGGTAAGGAAAGCGGAGAACTGACGGAAAAGTCGATGGTGTGAATGAAGACAGTGGCTGGCCACGACTCGCGACAACCTCGGAGCGGCTGAGGCCAGAACAGGAAACTGACCCGCCAAGGGCAAACACGTGCCATTCCCTCTGCTAGCGGCGGTTTACTGGCGGAAAAGTCTCTCCCCCTGGGCAAGTCTCGTCGCTGCTGCTCACTGGTCAGTTCACCCAGCGGAATGCTCCATCTTGTCCCCATGGGCACGTTGTATCAACATCTCCCCATGGTTTTCCCCGCAAGTAGATCTGGCCATGCCCCTCTTGGTCACTACCGAGAACCTGGGCCAACCACTTCCTCGGACTAGCCTTTTCTAGTGGCAGCACTCTGGCCCGACTCTTAACGCTTGTCGCTATGCTCTCGGCCGCTCTATATATCTACGCCTCGGCCCCATTCAAATATTCTTCTCACTCCAGTCTCCATCAACAACCCTCAATCCCCTGGGACAACTCTGTGTGTCTTGCCCGATCCTCGAGCTTGAACCACCATGGCTTCCAAGGAGAAGACCGAAGCCCAAGTGGCTGAGAATGTTGCCTCTCATGCCTCCAATCCCGCCGACGACACCAGCGCGGCCATCAGTAATGAGCAAAATATGACCGTTCGCCAGGCCCTGCGCTTTTGGTCCAAGGCCATCGTCTTCTCTTTCATCATCTCGCTCTGTGTCGTCATGGAAGGATACGATACGAGCTTGATGAACAAGTTCTTCGCCTTCACTCCCTTTCGCAACCGGTTTGGCGACGAGGTCGACGTTGATGGCAACAAGCTGGTCTCTTCACGATGGCAGACTATCATTCTCAACGGAACTCAGGTACAGACCTCACTTCAACCATCGATATCATCAACTAACATGATCTGATAGGTTGGTTGCATCCTTGGTCTTATCATCAACGGTTATATCACAGAATGGATCGGATACAAGAAAACCATGATTGGCAGCATGGTCTTCATGATCGGCGCCATCTTCATTCCATTCTTCTCTACTGGTCTGGAAATGTTCCTTGTCGGTGGTATCATCCAGGGTCTCCCGTGGGGTGTTTTCCAGACACTTGCCATCTCGTATGCTGCGGATCTTTGTCCCATGCAACTCAGAGGTATGTGAACCAAACGCGCGGATCACAAGATAATACTGACTAGTACCAGGATACATGACGTCGTGGATCAACATGTGCTGGGTTATTGGTGGTCTTCTCTCCACTGGTATCCTCACTGGACTGATGAAGAACGCAACGCAGTGGGGCTACCGTGTTCCTTTTGCTCTCCAGTGGATCTGGCCGATTCCAATCATCGTAGCTACCCTCCTTGCACCCGAATCCCCATGGTGGCTCGTTAGGCAGGGCCGTATCGACGAGGCCAAAGACGCAATCCGCAAGATAACCACCCCTACCGAAGGCGTCAAGTTTGATCTAGATGCCCACGTTGAGATGATGATTGTCACCGATCAGTACGAAAAGCAGGTTGGAGCAGGAACCAACTACTGGCATTTGTTCCGCGGTAGTGACCTTCACCGAACTGAGGTTAGCGCCATGGCATTTATTACGCAAGCTTTATGTGGCGTTCCCTTCATGGGGTTTGGGACCCAGTTTATGCTCGGGGTTGGTCTTAGTCAAGACGATTCATTCCATCTCACCATTGGTCAGGATTGCTTGGGTTTAGTTGGTTGCTTCATCGCCTGGTGGATCATGACTCGTTTTGGCCGACGACCCATTTACCTTGTCGGTCTCACCTCTATCTTCCTCATTCTTTTGATTGTTGGATTCCTTGGCCTCGCACCGCAGTCGAACAAGAGTGCCGGTCTGGCCGGAGGTATTCTCATTATTCTCATGATTTTCTGCTTCCAGGTATGTTTTTTCTCAGTCTGGTTTTCTTCGTATACCCTCTAACATGACTAGCTTTCCCTCGGACCCATCTGCTATTCTCTCGCTGCCGAAATTCCTTCTTCTCGTCTCAGGGTAAAGACCGTCGCTCTTTCCCGCGCATCCTACAACTCTATTGTCTTCGTCACCAACACTATCATGCCCAAGATGGTTGGTAAGAATGACTGGAACTGGGGTGCCAAAGGCGGCTTCTTCTGGGCTGGCATTGCACTGCTCTTCATCGTCTGGGGTTACTTCCGTCTTCCTGAGCCCAAGGGCTTCACATACTCTGAGCTTGATGTCATGTTTGAGCACAGGGTTTCGGCTCGCAAGTTCACTCGTGAAGTAGCAGACTCCCTGAAGCCTGCTCTCAGGGACACTGCGATGCAGTTTGAGAAGCAGAACAACATTGAGCGAGTAGAGTCGCACGCATAAGTTAATGACTGCTTAAACCGTTACGATGTAATGTTGGTGATAGAGAAGAGGCCGCCATTCTTCTGTAGGTCTGTAGGTCTGTAGGTCTGTAGTTTAGCGGAATAATACCCTTAATCATTACGAATTCACTTCGAGATTTGCTAGTGAAAGAGTATCGAACCACGTGAATTTCCCATACGTATATCTTTACACAGACTACTCTGAATAGCGTACTCTAGACAAGCCTATAATACATTAGGACTAGGGCAAGATCGATGTTGCACATTCGCTAATGAAACGAGCCAATCAAATGTACTTGCAAAGAGACTCAAACAACGTGCATTTACCTATATCAAGACAGCACAAGCGCCCCACTTCGATCAATCTGAACAATGTAAGTGTACAAAAAGTAACCACTTGTCTCAAAGCTTTACACCTTTTCTCTCCCTAGCCAATAAATTCCACTATACCTCAAACCAGACACACGCGTCTGACTAAAACGCTCATCCACCCACCATTTTACTTTGAAAAGATAGCCAAATACCAGCTCCCTCCACAAGTCTGTGTCGTATCGCCCCCGCACTTGGTCTGGCAATGCTCATTACTAGCCAGGGTAGCAGGGACATGAAACGTATCAGCGCACCAGCACTCGCTGCCGTCCCCCAGACCATAATAGAGGTAATCCTTGCAGAAAGCCATGCAATTCTGCCCCGTCATCGCGGAATCGGAAGTCTTTTTTCCCCTCCCAACACGCGGTCTCTGCTCTCGGTGTAGCACCCTTGGTACCGGAAGTGGCGTGCTCGTCGCATGTTCTCTTCGGCGAGCATGGCATCGCACTTGGGTTGCTGTTGCTGTTTGAGAAGTAACTCGGCGTTTGCTGTGTTGAACTGGGCTGTCAAGAGGTCTTCGCGCGCTTTGCACGTTGTCGTTTGTTCATTGAGCTGGTTCATCAGCATTTCCTCGCGTGCATTGCAAGTTTTCGTTTGTTCGTTGAGATTGGCAATGGCTTCCTGCTCGCGTAAGAGGCATGCTTCCTTGTCCGCCTGCCAGTTGTTGGGAATCATCGGACCAGAAGAGCTCGGGGAGAGAGGCTGGTTGAAAGTGACGCCGTTGGTGCAGGAGCAGGCGCAATCGGGTACCTCGGAGGGGTTGGCGCATCCAAGGGATGGTGTTCCACCTGTTCGTTTTCACGTGTGAGCTTCACTTTCGGGGGTTAGGTATAGGATTTCTAGTTTACTTACCGTTTTAGCACTGGTACGAAGTACCGGCACTATATGCTGCTGTGTATAGAGTGGAAAGAAGGATGGCTAGAGAAGTCCGCATTTTGTATGTTTGTAATGATGTTTTGGTGGGATGGGAATGATAGATGTGATAGATAGTGCTTGTTCGTTCCATATGTACATTCTTATATTCGCTTTACTAAGCTATGATACACTTTGATTATCGATGAGTAAGGTGTCGTATGCCAAATCAATATAGCCTTGCATTGAGTGTTTTCATTTTCTAGTGGAAGCTTTGGACAGTTGGGAACATGTGCAGTCAAAAACCAATCAATGCATATATCCATCGAGATATCTTGGTTCAGTTCATCTAGAAACCTGGCGTCTCTTGATTTTCAGTCCTTCGCTACGTCATATTCTCATGTCTCTTCTGATTTCGTGGAGATTCCTGACCTTGCTCGGGTTGTACCCAATTTGCGTGATAAGACGTTCCGCCATAAACCCGCTAGGCGCGTACATGGCGGGCACTTTGTTTTTGAATAAGTTAAAATGCTTTTTAACAATGATGGGGAAGACTGATCTATTCGCTGTGCTATGCGTCGACAGGCTCGGCATCCAAGACCGTTGCACTATGGTAGCTTCCGATATATCTTGCTAATACCTTCTTTCACGGGAAATTCTAATAGATGATGGTCTCTGAGCACAAACGGAGAAATTATAGTTCCATAGGACATAATGGCCGACGGGTACGTAGAAGGGCTCTTTAACCGGCTAATAATATCCTGGTCCAAATTGATCCCTTGTTAATCACAGCATTGGTGTGTCCAACAAACTAACAAACTTATCGCACAGGTTCGTAATATTACAACCTGGCATCATCCATAAGCGATGTAGAGGCATACGATCCTGTGTACATTTGTGTTTCTAGTCAGTTCTATTTTGTGCCAAACTGAGGTCCAGAGGAAAGGCCTTCAGTACTATCTAAGTAAACTAACTTTTCCCTGTTACCCTCATTGACTTGGTCATCATGAGCTGATTTGCGGCTTTTAAAATAACCTAATACAGCCACCATTACACATCCTAGCCTAGATATTCAACAAAGCATTAGGAATCTTGGGTTATATTGCTCCACCTCTCATGGACATTAAGACAAGCGGGACGTACGTAAAGAAAAGTATCTCGACAATCACCTAAATACACTGTATATGGTAACTGGTAGCGGACAATCGAACAAATCTTATTGCGACAAGACAAATAGGTAGATGTAGATCCAGATGAAGTGAATCCTGTCAAAATATGACTACAACAACTTCGATAATAAATCCATGCATCCCATTCGTCTATTGCTCTATTCGCTCCCATCGTCTGTTGCGCCCGTATCTTTGAGGACTAAGATTATGTATTAGCGTCTGGTAGATGTTAGCGTGACGTCAATCATGCCGTGTGTGCTTCCCGCGTTTCTCCTTCCTTTTGACAGCGGCCCAACCCTTTTTCTCCGTCCGGCGCAAAATCTTTCTTATGCCTTGTAACGGCACATTTTGTGTCGTACCCTCACAACCTCTATCTATCATTTAACTTCTTTCGCTTTGGTTTATTTCCAACAAGGTGTGCCTCCAACCCGTGAATTTCGAGGTAAATGCCTCGGTAATTCATGGTATTGTTCAAGAACCCTAGCGTTTTGGTCGGCTGCATGGCATTCTTTTTCGAACTAAGTCAATCTGCGTGTGAACTCATATGGGTGCATGCAGCAAAAGTACGCTCGGGATCTACGGTCAATACCTCTTCTGCGCTAACAAGCTGTCTAAGAGCACCTGGTGGCGTAGTGATGAAGTTGGGGCGCTAGTCACGTTACACTAGACTGCTTCTTTTCTAGAGCATTAGCGCTGCTCTATACCCTTCTCTGACAATGGGTACTAGTCTCTTCATTTCTTTTGAATCGATATTACAGCGCAAAAAATCATTGTTTCGATGACTTTTCGTAAAGAACAAATGTTTTCGTAAGCCAATCCTGACATTCTGTGATAGGGCTTAAAACCCTTCGTTGGAGAAAAACTACTCCGAAAAGACAACGTTCAAGATAGAAGGATTTATATTGGTGATGTTTCGTGTATAAAAAGATCAACGAGTAATATCCAGCGTCTTTTGAGAACGAGAAATGTCAGGACAAAACGCTCTAGTCCCTACATCCCATTGTTATATAGCAATGCTGGCTTCTGAACTTCATCATGTGGCAATATTAAGACTGCCCAGTGAGCTACATTTGCATATTTTAAACAGCCTTATGGTAGTATAAAAATCATCAAGAAGGCTGAGGATGCATGGGTCAAAGTATAATAGGCTAGATAGCCTAAGATCTAATGCTTTACTATGCCTTGGGTAAGTAGCATAGCCGCAGCTGCGATCGGGCATGTTTGCCGACCCTGTAAGAAAGACGAACAGCTTTCCTGTCTTGTATCTTGCTTTCTACTTTTGGGAAAGGTGGGCCGCGTGTATAGTTGCATGCGAAATAGGACAGGATATGCCCAGTATACAAACACTTGGGACGGTCCGGTCACTGTAAGTGTTGAACCGCGTTAGTTGCCGTTAGATGATAATTGAGTCTGAATTTGTCCTACCAGACTTTCTCACATAATCACAATTACAGCATCGATATCCCGAGAGTAAGGCTCTTGGTAGGAAGTATGATGGCTTGGAAAGCTATCACTCGACACTGTCTAGCTTAGCATCCCAACACAATGCTTCCTCCGTCGTATGACTACAAACTCAATTGCATCAAGTTTAAGTTGAGCTCCCCGTTACTGGCAGGTCGGAACGCAACCTGCGGTCTTTTTTCTTTCCTTCTTTGAGCTAAGTAACGGTGAGCTCATACGCTAGACGTGACCCAGATGCAAAATCATAAAAGCAATGCAAGCACGTCGATCATACCTCCACTTAGCCTAGAGCTACATTGTGTCATGGTAATTGGACAAACTGATTAATAACCTAAAGCTGCTTAGAAACGAGAGGTAAATTTATATGTCTATTCAGTTCACCTTGCTCTAATTACCCATCTCTCTTCTTTCTCACAACGCTCGTCGTCTGTTCTTTCGTAGTGCTCACCGCACACGCTAGATTACTACATATCATGAGATACACACTACTTTCTGCGCTATCGGCTTTGGTCGCGGCATCGCCGACGTTCACAGCGACTGGCAACGACGTAGCTCCGCTTATATCATCAGGCTCAGCAGTTGTATTCCTTGAAATATGCATTGTTGTTTTACAGAAGGGTGTCAAATATCCTTCTCAGCACTATGATTGGCTTCAGAGCATACATATGAGATGTTTGGATTCATGGGATACTCTGGTCATTTCAGTGAAGAGACTTTCAAGTCAATCCAGCGCCACTCTGATGTATTTTGTATTCATAATTCTTCACTAGTACGCTTTACCAATGCCACAAATTCGCAGAACCTGTTCGATGGCGATGTTATGGTGCTTAGCCTCCAATTATTCTAATAACCAAGCCACTATAATTACACAACCAGACCAAAACACACTCAGTGTTTTCTAGTCCTATAGAGATATCTAAAATATTAGTAGATTAACTACGTCAAACGCAACTCTAAAGTCTACCTCGACAAAAGTGATCCTGAGATCAACGATGATCCATGCGACGAGCATATGATCCAGAGGAATGTTTCTTGGGGACTTGTTCGTATCTCACAGCGTAATGCTTTGGAGAGCGAAACGTGGAACAACCACTTATACGCCGCCGATGGTGGTGAGGGTGTTGACATCTACATCATAGATACTGGTACTAACATTGAGCATGTGGACTTTGAGGGCCGGGCTACACGACTCAAGCGAATTCTGGAGAATGAGCCTGAAGAAGATGTCCGTGGTCACGGCACACTGTTCTGGTACTCTTGTTGGCAAGAGACATGGGGTTGCCAAAAAGGCAAATCTCTATTTCCTTAATGTCTTTGGCAGTTCTGAAAAGCTCGCTCATCCAACATCATTCTAGCTATTCAATACACAGTTAAATGACATGAATTGGCTGTATAGAGCGGGAAGAAGGGCTTCAAGGGCAGTGTTTTCAATATGAGCTTAGGAGGTCCGGGTCCTGCTATCGATGTTGCTGTGCGTGCTGGCCTCCACTTCGCTGTCTCTGCTGGCAACGAAAATGTCGACGCGTGTACGCGGCATCCTGCTCGCTTCGACAATTTCATTACTGTCGGTGCATCGAATCTGCAAGATCAGCGTGCGGAATCCTCTAACCATGGCAAGTGTGTTGACATTTTTGCCCCTGGAGATCTGATTCTATCTACCTGGATTGGCCATAAGTACGCTACCAATCTCAGGTCAAGAACTTCTATGGCTTCCCCCCATATCGCTGGTCTTCTTGCCTACATGCTCTCTCTTCAGCCTGCCAAGAACTCTGCTTACTCTGGAGTTGATATCACACCTCAAAAGCCCAAGGCCAACTTACTCGCTGTTGATACTGTTGATGCTCTTGCACCTCTTCCCAGCGAAACCAAGAATGTCCTCTTGTGGAACGGAGGTGGTTGCTCCAACTTTGCTAAAAAATTATTGAGCATGGTGGCTACGTTGTTAAGAAACCCGGCAATGTGGATGGATCTAAGTCCAAGAGCACTGTGCTCTCTGTTTTAGAAGAAGATTTCAAGATGGGAACCATCAAGTGCCCTCCTACATTCGCGGACCTACAAGTTGTTTCGTCGATCGCGGTGTAGCTTATTTGTAACTTAGGTTCAGAAAAGAAAACAATCTGCGTTTACTGACTTCCACCGATGTTACACTAAGCTCTATTAAACATGCAGCATGCTGATTTAATAGCTAAACTCTCTTATCACATTTGATCCATCCGTTGCCAACTGCCGCATCTTCTTGTTATGCCATTGGTAGTACAAGCGCAAGCCGACACATCCAACAGCAACCATCATCAACATCGCAAAATTGGTCCAATGTCCTGTCGGATATCCTAACTTCTTCTCATTTGCTTTGTATATCCAAACGCCGACAATTTGGCCGGGGGCCCCCCAAGAAACATTAAGGGCAATCGCCAGTCCTGTCGCAGCAGTGCTATGCATGTTGGTGCTCAACCAGCCCAGCAGTGGTGGGATACACGAGAATGCACCGCTAGCCGCAACGATCAAACACCCATATCGCGCATGGAAGGCGTCGGCAGGGAGAAGTGCCGACGCAAGAAAGCCAATTGCACCGATAGTAGATAAGGCGGCCGCATGCAATGCGCGGGCGTTAAAATAGTCCGACGACCAAGCAGTGATGATGCAGACCACATACGCGACTGCGTATGGAGGAACCGTCATGAGCTGAGCCTGAAGATTCTCGTATCCCAAGCCAGCAGTAATGGTCGGAGTGAAAAGCGATAGTGAGCTGAATGGTGCGGAAATGCCAAAGTAGATGATGTAATGCACCCAGAGACGGCCATCGAGTAATGTTTCCTTTGCTGTCTTCCAGGTGAGCGAAGGCGCATTACCTTTTGAGCCCTCATTTTCCAAACGTGCAACGGCCAGTTCCCGTTCGGATGTCGATAGCCACGATGCTTCCTCGGGATAGTCTGGTAAAAGTAGCCATACTGCGACTGATGAGATGCACGACGGAATTCCCTCCAATATGAATAGCCACCTCCAGGCAGAAAGGCCGTGTACCATCTTCATGTGGCCTACGCCATAAGCGATCGCACCGCCAAACGCTCCCGCCAGCGTCGCGCTCGCCAAAATGATAGCAACACGGATACTTCTTTCGCGTGCACAATACCAAAACGTGAGATAGTAGACCAATCCAGGGAACAGTCCAGCTTCAAATGCTCCGAGTAAAAACCGGACAGCGGCGACAGTCGCGTAGTTGTTCGCGCCACCGAGTCCGATTGTGCAAGCGCCCCATGCAAACATGAGAAAGGCAATCCACCGGCTCGGCTTGAACTTCTTGAGGAAGTAATTACTTGGTACCTCGAATACAGCGTAGGCAACGAGGAATACCATGAGGGCAATGGTATACTGGTAGTTGGTCATATGTGTCTCTTGCAGGAGGGAATGCCCCTCGTTGGCATTGAGGGTTTTGGCATTGCCGATGTTGGAGCGGTCGAGAAAGCAAAGAAGGTAAATCGTAGCGCACAAAGGGACAATGCGCAGATCTTGTTTCCAGATTAGAGCCCTGACAGCTGGGGAGTTTGCTTCTTCGATGGCATCGACATTTTGAGTGTCCTAGGGCTTGAGTTAGATTCGTAATCACATTGGAGCTTAATCTTCGTGCTTACTGCGTATTTGTCCAATACCTCGCCATGCTTCTCTGCGTCGTGCTGAAAAGCCATTTTCTAGGCTCCCTTAGTGAGACACGGTGTGAGAATACAAATCAGAGCGCAGCAAGAAAAATAGCAAGTCAAGAACTATACCAGGTACTTAAGCACCACCAAGCAATGCTTGGTTCGCTTAGATGCATCCGTGTGTACGTTGCTGATTTGTTAACCATTTGAATTAACGCATTATGGTAATGATACACACCGCTAAATTGTGTGTGGAGTTCGCTCTGCAGCAAAGCCGTGACATGGCTGGTTGAACCCCGCATATACCTAACCGTTGCTTGCCATTCGTCTTTGCTCCACACCCTTCGGGACTTGAAAACTATCCACACTGTATCCCAATCACATGCAGGTTTGCCGAAGGGTCAGATGCCCCGGCGGATAAATCCAAGTCGTGCTACGGTAATCCATAGGGTTAAGCTCACTGTAAGAATAAAAACCTTGTACCACCGCGCAAACTAATATCTGTGACAATACCGGGGGTCTGGAACAGTTGTAAGTAATCATATTGATGCATATTCATTGCCACTACTTCTCTAAGACAGTATTGGCACATTTTGGCGTTTTAATTAGATACGTTTCTGATGTCGGTGCAGTCCTGGGGTGATGTAGTGCTCTACTCTCAGCCACTGCAGTTGAAATAAAGTTCATGCATCCGCTCATTTGACTTTTCTCATTTTTTCAATGCTATTACTCCGCCATCAGATGTGAAATTGAAGCGCACTTTCCTCATGCGCTAGAACCACTACGAAGTTTAACAAATCTGGAGGCTTGGATTGCTTTTCGTTCATAGGCTAGATAACTCGACCTCGATTAGATTGATATGTATATGTTCCGGGAAATGATTTTTGGGGCGCTATAAGATCCATCGGAAAGTCAACTATAAAACTGTAAACAAACGCCAAGTTAACTAATAAGATCTATAAGTCCACTCAAAAATTCTCAAATATCCAGTCTCATACCAGTGTATGAGAAATCGAATCAACTACATACATGATGGCGACCCTGTCCCCCTTGTCTAAACAAGCGGTGAAACTGGTGTACAATTACCGGTAAAAGCAAACCAACCTTCTAATTTGTCCACGTCTTCACACAGAGACTTGGATGACTTGGCCAACTCACCGCTGTCAAATTCGGATATGGTGGTTACGGAATATATGTGAAAGATAGGAGAAATACTTGGATCAGCTGTATGAAGAGTTCAGACGGCAGGGCTACTACCAAAGCGGTGCCAACGACTCGAACACTGAAAATAGCTCTTGCCTGTATGACTTGACTTTTTTATGTCTCTTTCTTATATAGCGTATTAGATCAATCATTTTAGAGAAAATACCAGGCTACACCCTAACCTGCCAGATTGTGGTATGACAAAAATTAACTTTACAGTTAAAGTAAAAGAATTTAGGTAAGCGTTAGCGATGACCTACTTTTAAACTCTAAGAAATTGTTAAGTAATACTATTAAAGATATGTACACCTCTCAACGGGTACATGCCTATTAGACACGTCTCTACTGGGTACAACAACTAAATCACGGTTGCGACGAAGGCAGCAGAACAGCGAACTACAGTTGCGATGAGAAAGCAGCACTCTCTTGTATTTACAGCATCCAGAATTCACATTCAAAATAAATCTTGAGTATCGCCATACATACCTACCCGACTGGATCAGGATGGTGTTATGGAGAAGAGCTAGCATATAAGGGCCACAACAGGCTAGTGCAGGCGCTAATGCATGAAACGTGACCAACAAGAATGACGTTGGTAACAGGGTCCAAGCTCCGCCCCAGCCTCACATGGGAGTTGCAGCCGCTATCTCTTGACGCCAACCTGAACCAACGAGCAGAGCTCCACATTCCTCCCCCACAACTATATCTCCAAACCCTCTTCTCAACCGCAGAACTGTCATTTCGAAGTCACTTCTCACACGCCCCTCGCCCAATCGCCGCCAGCCACCGTCGCCATGCAGCTCACCACGCTCTTCGTTGCCGCGCTGAGCGCCGTCTCTGTCTCCGCCTCGCCTTCGTGGATGGGAGGCGACCAAGTCGTTGTAAAGGAAGAGTACAAGGTGCCGGGCGATAACCCGCTGTACTTTTGCGGCGACCCAGCCGACGACATTCTTACCATCGAGAAGGTCGACCTTAGCCCCAACCCTCCCCAGCCGTACGTACCTCCATCTCGGCGTTTCCCAGCCTCATCTGTCGCGACGCTTCGATAGCCTGGAATCCTGTAAATCGGAACTAATGCGTGCATAGTGGACAGACCCTCAGCATCAAAGCCACGGGCAACTTCAAGCAAGAGGTTGGCGAGGGCTTCAAGATGCATCTCCAGGTCAAGTATGGCATTATCACGCTCATCAACCAGAATGCCGATGGATGCGATACCATCAAGAAGGGAGACCTTGATTGCCCGCTCAAGAAGGGCGAAATGAGCCTGACCAAGGATGTTGATCTGCCCAGGGAGATTCCTCCGGTGCGCCCCCTGAATCCTTCTTGGACACTACAAGGCGATGCTAACAGTACCATAGGGTCAATACACCGTTCTTGCTGACGTATTCACGGAGAATCAGGAAAAGATCACCTGCCTCACCGCCAAGGTTGCATTCCACCGGTAAATGTCACCAGATCTACTTGGACACCATCACACACGACGAGCAACAACGGTGTCTGATATTCAACGATACAGAGGAGGGACGGGGGAGAAGATTGCCAACAGTGGTGGCAACATCAAGTTTGGTGAGCCACGAGTGCAAATGTCTGGGCCCTTGGCAGACATGGTGCGGGAGCGGTTACGACGAAGGAACGAGCTGTGAGAATGATACGAGCTATTCATTTGGTAAACGCGCAATGTCAGTACTTTATTGGGTTTGGCGCATAGTTTGGATTTGTTGTCGAGTTCCTGGGCCACGCTTAATGTAGATATGATTGATATGCATCCTTGTATGGCATCTTGAGCTGTTTCAACTTGATGGATATCATTCATCAACTATTTCTACGTGATATACATGCGCAAGCTGGCATCTAGCCAATATGACTCGTGCTAGTACCACTGCTTGCATGATACATTGTGTACGTTCGACTGGCTAGTGCTCCCTCAAGGACATCTACTCTCCGAACAATCTCCTGACGCGCTTCAGCACGCTGTCCTTCTCGGGATCATAGGGGTGGTCCTTGGACGGAATCTCAAGCAGCGAGGGGAAGGCGGCAGTGTAACTCTCAACACGGTGTCGTATCCTCTCGGCAATCTAGCACTTGTCAGCCTGTTGCTGCACCCAACTTTGCAATCGCATAATGCAGCAGCATTATCGCAAACTGGCCGACGGCTCAACGTACATGCTGGTTGATAAGCAGAATGGCAATGTCCTTGCGCTCGTTGGTGAAGCGATCAAAGGCGGCTTCGATGGCCGACGTCTCGGTCTTGCCGTCCACAACCAAAAAGTTCTTTTGGCTATCTGGCGGCTG